ATTATTTTATTTAATTATGTATATTGGAATAATCTCTTAGTGAGAATTCCTTACAATCAATTAATAAGAATATTTTAGATAAAAAATTATAGATTTAGAAAACAAAGTTGATTGAAATCTTATATTTATGACCAAATTTAAATTTTAACTAGATCTTATATTAAAAATTAGAGCGAACATAACTTAAGGGGCCATTGATGACTGAGGTTTATCCATGCAGGGTTGAAACTTTAGGTGGGTTCATTATTAAGTTCAAAAGGTTAACGGAATTATTTGTATGTTGTTCAAAGTTTAGGAAAGTTTTATATAATTTAACCTAAAAATAAAAATAATTGGCGTTGGTATTGTTTTACTTTTTATTTATTAAACACTTTTTTGTCTTTGGCAAAGAAAAAAACTCTTTTTTGTCTCATAATTTTTATTTAATGATTTGTTTAATCTTATTTAGAGGGATGCAACAGGAATGTGTCTTCCTTTTTTTTTAAAAAAAAAAAAAATTTGTAAACCGTCATGTCACACCGCAAATAAAGCCTTTTCAATGATTTTGTTTGTGCAGTTAATTCAGCAACCTAATCATGCATGCCTAATTAGCTGCGTCATTGTTAGAGAACAACTAAGAAAATACATTGGACCTAATTGAAAAATAAATAAAAACAAAAATAAACATGAATCTAAAGCTAAAGTCCTAAGCTTATTTATATTGGCACCTCCATGAAAATTTTATTTATTGGATGGGTCCTAAGTTCAAATGAAGTTTCAAGCAAAAGTATTAATTGGGTCAATGCCCAACAACTTGAGGCCTCGGCCCAAAACAAAAAGGCATGGCCTTTATTTCGACCTTATTTTACCCATTAAGTTCGTTTCTCTCTTCTTTTTTTTTGAGTGAGATTTTATCCAGCAAATTCGTTATTGCATTAACAGAAACAAATGCGCCCTTTCAATTTAAACCCAAAAAAAAAGAAAAAGAAAAAAAGTGCCCAACGAGGTAAATTTGCTCATAGAAGACCAATAAAAGTTGATTTAATTAATAAGGAGTTGGCTTATAATTCGCACGGTCATAAGCTTGAATCTTGCTGTCGTTGTGAGGGCCTTGTTGGTAGACAATATATAAGTATCTCTGTAATTGTTCTCAAAACCCAGAGGTCTTGACCTTGATGAGCTTCGAAAAGTCAACTCAGCTACACCTTTTTGTACAAAAAAATTTGCTTATAGAATGAGAACAACAACAATAATAAAAGAAAATGCAACCAATTAGGCTTAAATTTAGTGGAAGTGACTAGTTACTCATAATCTTGGCAAACCAAGATTTCAATTATCATTAAGAGAGGTGTCTACATTTAGTGTTCGGTAGTGTTTCGAACAGAATTGCTTGTAATAATGGGATACTTGTGCATACTAGAAAAAATAATAAGAGAAAATGCAACTTTTAGATTTTAAACTTTAATTTTACGGTTAACACAATTTTTTATCATTTAAATTTTCCTTCATTTTAGTTTTATTCCTCCAAGTTTTAAACCATAAGTATTGGTTCATTAAGTTTTTTTTCATCTAAAACAGTGGTCCTTATAATTTAATAAAAATCTGGACCATTTTATTTCATGAGGGACCAAAACTTATAGCTTGAAATTTGAGGGACCAAAACTAAAATGAGGTCAAATTTGAGATACTCAAAATTATATTAACCCTTAATTTTATTTAGCCTTTGAACATTGCCTTTAAAACTACAAGCATGTTACCTAAAACTAACTAAGTTAACATACTCTGATATTCAAAACTTTAGTCCAAGCAGGACCACACACATCAACTCATCTAAAGGGCCACATTAAGACTCTTGTTTTTGAATACTAAAACTAAGAAAACTCAAATAGTTATAACTGATCACACCTTCACAGATTGTTATTAGATTCTATTTCTGATACACATGATCCTCTTAAAAAAGCAAGTACAGAGCATACTCAGAATCTCTGATCTCTGATGATAGAAGAAAGATATTATAAGTTAGGTTTTCAGAAAAAGAAAGAAGCTTAGAGAGAATTCATGAGAGTACACTTGTATTATATAATGAAGCTCATACAATTCATCCCTGCCTCGTCACTTGGCAGAGCTCCATTTGCATAGATCCTTGGATTACAATATGACAAACAAACTAAAATTATTATTACAAACACTAAAGCAAAGATTCCAAACAGATACATAATATAAAGGTAAAGATACCTTTAATTATTAAAACAAGACTAGAACTCTTTGACTTAAAACAAACTTAAAGTAGACACGTGACATGAAGTGACATGAGTCACACTTAAAGTATATTTAAAGTAAATTCCCGATAGGACATCCTTATCTCAAACTTTTGCACATAGGTTGATGACTTGAGTGAATAGATTATATCGGCTAAATTGCTTCAAATTAGCAAGTTATAAATATTGAATTGTTATGAGTCAAGAATAATAAGTATTGAGTTGTTTCCAGTTTATGCATCAGTAAAAAAAAAGAAGAAGAAGATTTATGCGATTTGTTTCAACTTCTAACTGTCAAGTCAAAATTTAGGGGAATTGATAATTAAGAAAATAAAAAGATAAAGCCAATTTAATTATTTAACCCATTTAGATATTGATTTAAGGGTTAATGGTCTTATCATTGTTAAATTGAGATCGTCCTACTACTACTACTGTTACTACGGCTGCTATTACTACTGCTATTGCCGCTATTACCTACTATTGCTACCGCCTATAACTGCTATTGCTGCTGCTACTACCATTGTTACTAATCCTACTGCTACTATTGCTGCTGCTGCTACCACCACTAGCTCCACTATTAATACTACGACTATTGCTGCTACTGTTATTATTGTTGCTGCTACTACTACTACAATTACCACTACTACTGCCACTACTGCTACTACTATTACTGCTACTGTTACTAATAATAATAGTAATAGTAGTAGTAGTAATAATAATATAATTAAAATTTAAAAAATATTTATAACTTAGAAGAGTAATATTTAAATAAAAAATTATTAATTTACAAGTAAATGAAATATCATCCCACAAATGACACATAATCTAATAAAATAAAGTTACTAAGCATACTTTAATCTTTGAAACAGTTACCACCAAAATATGACTAAAATTTGTTTAAGAACTTGTTTTTTGACCAGACAATTTGTTCAAGAACTCAACTCCTTGAAGGGTTGTAACAGAGCATTTTGGTTGCATGCAATTCTTTTTAATTTTATGAAATATGTCTTTAACACATAGTTAAAGATACGTGGCACATAAGTAAAAAACTTTAGGTACCTTAGGCGATAAATATTGCAATGAGAAATTTCTCAACAATTGTTTTTTTTTTTTTGAAAAAAGCTCGTATAAATACCATTTCAATTTTAAAATTTCATATTAGTTATTCTAATTTCATAGGAGGTAAATAAGTCTGTAAGAATTAATTTGGGATTTGTAAATTTTGACAATTTACTTACATTTCCTTTTTCTTATTCCATTTTTGTCAGAATCAAAGAGTTCTCCTCTCTCTCCCTCACATTGTTCCCAACGTCCTTCTTTTAAAAAATAATTATAGACCCTTTCCTTACTTCCAAGTCATCCCTCTCCGAACGCCCAACTTCGGTTCACCTATTGTTTAAATTTCCTATTTTGATTACCTTCACGTTCCTCATATTACCATTCTTCAATTATACAATGGATTACTTCTCTATTCTTTTGACTTTTTCATGCCACTTGAAGAACACATATCTATACCTGGACTTCCTCATTCCTCATTTGAATATATATGTAATGTAGTTGTTGTCATATGGTTGCTAATTTTTGATAAATATCATCACTTTAATAGTCAAATTCATTACAAATATAGCAAATCATAAAAGTTATTATTAACATGTTTATTATGATGTACTTTAGATATATTCATCTACTATCAACTAATTTCTTAAAAATATTTATCTCATTATTTAATTCCCCTAAGAGGTTATACTTAGTGAAAATTGACTGTCAATAGTATGAAATGGTCAAATCCATTTCTTAGATTATCAATCATATTATATGTCTAGTCAATTTGTCTAACCGAATGTCCTCAAATTGCACAAAGTATGGAAATGACTAATAATATGTTGCAAAACACATTAAAGAAATAGTTGAATTCATTTCTCAAGGTGTCAATCACTTTATATGTTTAGTAAAGTTGTTTTGAAATGGCTAATAACATGTTACAAAACATGTTATATAAATGGTCAAATTCATTTTACAAGTTGTCAATTACATTATATATTTAGTAAAATTATTTGGAAATGGCTAATAATAGGTTACAAAATGTGTTATGGAAATGATCTATTTCATTTTCCAAGTTGTTAGTCACATCACATATTTAGTAATTTTATTCAATTCAATCCTTTTGAATTTTACTAAGTCTGTATATGACTAATAATAGATTGCAAAACTCATTATGAAAATGTTCAAATTCAATTTGAAAGTTGTTAATTATTTTACAAATATCGTACCTAAAAGCAAAACTTTTTAATGCTTTTCATCTCTCAATGACATTTTAGTCTTTCTATTAAATTTTGTAAATTCCAAATTCATATTTCAAGCCCCTTAATCCTTTCACTTATTTGCATTACTTATTTGTCTTTTTAAATTTGAATAAATATTTTTATCCATTTTTTTTTGTTTTTTCAAAGGGACGATAACAAAAAAAAAACTGAAATTTTGTAAATACCAAATGAGGAACAACAACAAAAATTTGTTATTATTTATAAATTCAGACTTGTTAATACTGAATATAATTGTGTTGTCAAACTTGATTTGGGATTTATAATTTTTATTTTCATTTTCTGTCGTTTTTTTTTCCCAAATCAAAATGATCGAGTGAAAATTGTGAAATCCACTGCCAACCGGGTTGGGTTTTAATACCAGATTGTTCGTCGTTAATTTACCTTGTCCTCGTTTCCTGCAGCCAGGTCTCCCTCCTCAACGGCTTTCCTGCGATCCAAGGAATGGTTCTTCCCCATCTGCTGCACTGTTCTTTGTCTTCTGATAGAAAGGAGGCTGCTTTCCGTTTCCTGAGCTAAGCTTTCGTCCAATCAAACGGCTCTTAAAAAGTTTCTCCGGAGCGAAAGCATAACAGTACAAGAGGGAAGCTCTTCCCTACGAGTGCGAAAGTGAGGGTTTGGCAAATTGGCTAAGAGAGACGAATGGACGAAGATCAAATACTGGGTTTTGTCACTGCGTACCTGAGAAAGAAAGGGTTTACTCAAACGGAGCATGCTTTTCAGGAGGAACTTCAACAGAATAAGAACACTTCCTCCGCTAATTCTCTTATCGAACCCGACATTGCCAAGCAAATTCTTGCCTTCTCCACGTATTTTCCCCCTTTTTGCCCCATTTCAGTTTTATCTTATTTCATCTTTTTTGCTGCCCCTAATTTATGCGTTTACGGTTTGCCTTGGAGGAATGTGTCCTTGCAGATGATTTGGTATGCTCTTAATTGCTACTCTGGTAGGGTAATGCTGCTCAAACAGTAAACTTGTATATAAAATCTGACAAATGATCTCGGTCATCTTCATCATAAATAATCAAACATCATGCGTTCCGCTGAGTCAGTTTTCAACTTTTGTTCAAATACTAGTTTTGTTAGCAGTATTACCTAGGGGTTGGGTATGTTATGATAGGACATGTTAGGACGTTAGTTCATACTGAATAATTTTACATTATCGTGGTTTGCAATTTTTTTTTTTTTTTGATGAACTGGATTTGCAAAATTTATGTGCCGTTGATATTCCATCCCGGCGTTTACTAGCCAAGAAACTTGCTGGGATTTGGGTACAAGTGTGAAATTAGCTGTGTGTTACAGCCAGTGAAAGCATTCATACTGTTAGTATGATGATAAGAATTAGTTTACGGGCCTTGCCCCAGCGCTTTAAACCAAGTCGGATGGAGGATGCCAATAACTGACTTGTATTAGAGACAAACATTACTTTGATGAGTTCTGATCAATGGATAACATACAGTTCATACCATTTGTCTAATTCTTGTAGTACATCATACTCAAGGTTTTCAGATTTTCACTCTTGTAGTCCTGTAGAATGTATGCTTAACGGCCTTGAAGTAGTATCCTTCAGTTGCAAAGAATGTGATTTTGGGCAGGCATATGAGAATTTTTATTTTGACTCTGTCTTTTCGCATAATTGAGATGCCCTCCCAGACTGCTGGCGCTATTTGTTTGATAGTTGGATATTCAAAAGTTTGAGGATTGGATTTATATGTTAAACCCACTCTGCTTTCGATCAACAATACTAGTTTGTGTTGGATCAGATGTCCGAACCTATTTGCATGCCCATCTGAGTGACTTATACTTCAATGCTAATGTGAATTTAAAAATATAGTTTGGATCCATTTTTTTGGGAGAAAGCAGTAATAGAAAAAGGAAATAACATATTCGTGTGCCAGCAATTTATGATAAAGAAAGAAAAAGTCAAAGTTATTATTTAGCTGAAGGAAGACTGTAGATCGAATGGACTTCTATTCTAACAGGCCTCTGTATTTCCACACTGATGACATGCTCTTATTGCCAGTAATTATAAATGTTCTTGACATTTTTAGTGTCTGACATGTTAACTATTGCACGAAGATAATTTTCAAACTTGAACATAGTTATCTAAGTGCTAAAGGGTAGGCTGGCGCATTATTGGGACATGGCCATACCATTGAGTGAATCCTACCCGTCAGATTATTTTTCAAATTGTTGCCATTAATATGGTTCAATGAATATCCTTTAATTTGTAGGTTAGAAAGTGGTCCTGCAAGATTTCACGATGGGTATAGCAGACTCAGATCATGGGCATATAGTTCATTGGATTTGTACAAGGTAAAACGCCTATTAATTACTCTTTCATCTGAATTTAACTTTTGAAACTGCTATGTTCAGTTTCTGCTGTCATTACATTTTTTGCCTTGTCCTTGCAGCATGAATTATTGCGTGTGCTTTATCCAGTGTTTATTCATTGTTTTATGGATCTTGTGGCAAAAGGGCATATCCAAGAAGGTATAGATAAATTATCATATGCACTAATTTTTTTTGTGTCACAGAGATTGCAGATTTTCCAATATGAGCTCTCCATGTAACATATATTACTTTTTGTTTATATGCTTGTGGTTGATATCCTCAGCCCGGAACTTTTTCAATACCTTCCGTGAAGACCATGAGATGATGCACTTACGAGACCTTCAGAAGTTGGAAGGTGTGCTTTCTCCTTCTCATCTGCAGGTTGGTTGCCACCTTAAATTTGCTACTTTTGGTTTCTTCTATTATTGGATCATTAGCTTTAGATAATCTGACAATGTTTTTACTTAGGAAATGGAATTCGCTCATTCACTTAGACAGAGCAAATTCAACATAAAGATATGTCAGGTAATTTCTTGACTCCTCTGGGTCAGTCTATCAGATATGTTCTAATTGAAATTTGACCAACATTATGACTAAAATAATTGGGATTTAACTTCCACATTATTATTTTTATGCTATGTTATTGTTGTGTTCTACTCTCACCTCTGTGGATGAGGTTTTCTTGAAGACATAAAGTCATACACTGTTTGAAGATTAAAACGTAATTTTTTTTTAAAAAAAATCAGAATAACAAGATATTCATCAATGCCACAATAACTCTTGGAATCTGCTGAAATTGATTAATCATTTTTTTTTTAATTTCCCTTTGCTTTAATACAGGTATATGTTGTTTTGTAATTTCCATTATAAGGAATGGTCCTTTCATTTTTTAACTAAAAAGTTGAGCTATATTCTTGGGAAAGATGATATGAGTAAATGTCTTGCCAGTATTCCCACCAGCTTCTGTTGCAACATCTCCGCGATACGCAATCCACCACTGTACTTGGTATAATTAATGAGCACATTGACTTCCAAGGTACTTCTCTTCAGGTTAAGTTTATCTTTTCAGTGGTACTTGTTAATATTGCTGGTATTACTCATTCCCCTCCGCATTTGCAGTTACTCCCGGACAACCTAGCTCAATTTCTGATGATCCAGAGGCTGTTACGCTCTCTGGAAGCAGCCAGGACGCAGCAAATCAGATAAATCAAAAAGAAATACATTGGGGGGTTAGTTAGTTATTATGTGTACAAAACATGACCATGTAATGTTGGAAATTATTCTTTTTACGATAATTTTATTAATGTGATCCCAACTGCCTTTGTAGTGCTTCGAATGAATTTTAGTTCCAATAATAATCTGATCTAATCTTCACTGGATCTAGTTCCGTGGTGTGGATATCAGTGTACAACCATAGGATGAGAATATGATTTGATCTGTGAAAACTTTAACTTAGGAAGCACTAAATCAGTTGTTCTATCTTCTAATACATGGTGCCATTCGTTGTAATAATTGTGCCATCATAGTGCTTGGAATGATGCATGGTATTAATGTTCAAGTTCTAATTGTAAACTGACATAGTCTCTACTGGGCCAACCCTTGGTTTCTGTGGTGTGGAAATGAAAAAACTAACATAGGAGACCATGTGTAGTCTTCTGCTTCATAAGGGGGATGGGGTAAATTGGGAGTGACACCAGAAATTAACTCAGTATATATAGTAAATGACTGCGGTTTGTTGGTTGTGAAAAAACATGCAACTGTATATATTTTGAAAAGAAAAATTACATATTGCTAAACTAATGATACAAGGTTAACGTCATGCATGTTGAAATCCCAGAAATAAGTGCAAATATTGCATTTTATTACTTTGGTTGGCTCTGCTAATCTGCTATTAATGCAATGACCCACAATTTGCCACAGTTTAGAGAGTAGCAAGAGAAAACTTGAACCGTGAAAACTTGGTGTATATCTGATTTAGTGTTCAGTTTAAACTCAAAAGTACGGTCATTTTTTGTATGGGGTTGTGTTGAGTTGGCTGTTTTGATTGTTACTGCCTTATTAGGTAATTAATTGGTTGTAAATTGTAATCCTGCCACAGTTGCTTGAAGACTCTCTAGAAGAACGCCTAGAGAAGGCTGGTGCCTTGCTTTCCGATTCTGAAAAGGGGGAAGGGGAAGCCAAAGAAGGGGACAATGAAGAGAACAAGGTACCGTTTGATTTTAAACCTTAATACGTTTAACCATCATGCCTGTCCTCTGGAATCTGATATTGCATGTTGAACAGCATTCTTGCACTTTCTGATGCACGAGTTTCTTGTTGAATACATCTTTTATTGCCTTAGTTAAATATGAATTTATTTTGGTTGATCTTCTCAAGTTATTTTTGAATGATTTTAACTTCTTGTTTTTTTAACGTGAGCATTCTAGAAAAGATCAATTGAAGGGGGAAAGCAAGGTGCCTCAATCAAGAAAGTAAAAAAGGACAAGGGTGGAAGTGCATCTGGGAAAAGCGCAAAACCTGATGCTAGTACTATACCTGCAGCACCACGTGTTAAACCAGAACTTCCCTTGCCCATAATGTATTAACTCTTGAAGTCCACTTCTTCATTTAACCTCTTTCGATTTACATGTAGGCTCTGCATCAAAGCAGAAGGCTGTATTTTTTGTCCTTTTCAGTTGGAATAGTTGCTGAAAAAAACGCAAGTAGTGATTTTATTTCAAAACATAAGATGAACACTGTTTCATAAGACCCAACAATGAATTCTTTCTATACTTTATTAAAACATTTTGTAGTTATTATGCTGTCAAATGTTAGCTATGTGAAGGTGTTAACATTTGTACCCAAAAAATGTAGGTGTCAACATGAACTGGAGGTCTGATTTTTCAATTATAAACTAGTAAATCTTGTAATTACTTTCCATTAAATTATACAATTTTGCATTGTTGCAGTCCAACAGAGGTAGAACAGTCTATCCTTGAAGATTTAAGGAACCGCGTACAATTGAGTAGTGTTGCACTGCCTTCAGTTAGCTTTTACACGTTTCTCAATACACATAATGGGTAATGTTCTAATGCTTGGCAGATCAGCGTTAGTTGATTATGTTTTGAACTCTATTGCTTAATGCTTATTTTCTTGGTAAACTGTTACAGTTTAAGCTGCTCATCAATATCCCACGATGGTTCGTTGGTTGTTGGAGGGTTTTCTGACTCATCACTGAAGGTTTTCTCTGGACTTTCTTTCTTTGACCTTCCAATAGAAGAGAGTTCTAACCTTTCCTTTTGGTTTTGAGAGGGTTATTTTGCTTGATTTGGTAATCTCTAACCCGTACGTGTAGGTTTGGGATATGGCAAAGCTTGGACAACAGACTGTCAGTTGTAAGTTTGTAGTTATCACATTTAATTTTTATATTTAACTGCACATGTCTCGTTCTTTGCTGAAAATTTGTGGATGTATGGACAGAACATTGATAATTCTAAGAAAGCATCAATATCAATATAAAAATATAAAATTTTTAGGCCCCATATGACCCTTTAGTTTTTTAATGAGTACCTTCGAGATTTCTACTACCCTGACGGAAGAAGTTCTATGCAATGTCGTTTTTGGTGATGAAATTGTTTGATGGATTCTTTTGCTGTTAGGAAGGTATCCACCGCCTAATCTATTTGTGGTAACATTATCTGTTCAAGTACTTCCGGTGGGAAAGAAAGAATGCAAGGGAAAAGTTTCTTTCTTTCTTTGTTTTTTTTTTTTGGTGGGATGTGGGGTTGCTGATTCATATGACCTGTGGCATTGTGGGCACTGTATTTCCATCATTTGAAAAGTCATATACTAGTTATTATATTTGTAATAATTGGTCCTTCAATTGAACGATGGTCTTTATCAATGTTCTTATTCCCATATAATTCGCACTTCTTGAGCTCAAATATTTATTCTACTGCTGAAAGTGTCAGGGCATCTTAACCAAACCAAAATGACAGTTGAGTTAATGAAAACCAAAATTAAGTTGCTATTTGACAAAGTAAGCTTGGTTTGAAAAAAAAAATATGGAGGGAAGATTTTGTGTGTCTGGAGCAATACAACGTGCTCATATTAAGTTGTTTTACTTGATGTAATAGTCCACTAATTAATTCCTTTGTGTTCAGCTCTTTCACAGGGTGAGAATGACACGTCTCAAAATGAACAAGTACTTGGGCAAAGTGGTGGGAGAAGACAGTATACATTATTTCAAGGTCATTCAGGGCCAGTTTATGCAGCCAGTTTTAGCCCTGTTGGGGATTTTATTCTTTCCTCTTCAGCAGACTCGACTGGTATGTTTATACTGACTGTTCTTTGCTTTTGGTATTTATCTTATTATCGTCACTTTGTTTCTTCGAACTTTTCAACTTCGGACTTAATTCATACATGTATGCAGTTAGATTATGGAACACAAAACTTAATGCAAACCTTGTTTGCTACAAGGGCCACAATTACCCTGTCTGGGACGTTCAGGTAAAAGCCTTTTTCCTTAATTTTTTTTTCTAAATTCAACTGATTTTTCACCCGTGTATTCTCATGACACATGTAGAATAATTATAGTGCCTATATACTGTAGAAAAGGTGGTTCACATCCTTTTATGCATCTTTCTGTTCCTTTACCATACACGTTTTTTCCCCAGTTAATATAACTTCCAATAATTGTTTGGCCTCTCTATTTCCCAGTTATCTCTCTGTGATGCACCCTTAGTTTTTTGCTAATGCATTCTTCCTTATGCAGCCTACTACTTTATGAAATAGATGTCTTGGATGTTGTCATCACTCAGAGTCATAGCCATTGAAAAACTGGACTATTGATTGACCCAGTTGAGGTACTAATTTAAGGGTTAATAGTCGATTGGTGGTCAAACTTGTAATGATTAAATTACTATAATAAAGGTCTAAATTACAATATAAAAAGTAATTTATAAATAATAATAAGTTGAAACATACTAAAATAGTAATAAAACTGAAATAATTAAAAATCTATAACTAATAATTTTTTTTACTTTTCTCTTCCACCATATAATTTTTTTTATTACTCAAGAAGTATAACTTCAGCTAACAAATATTATATTAAAAGGGAAAAAAAGATTTGTTTTGGAAATCAAATATATAGACTCGTGCACATACCCTTTGGATTTTGTAACCACCCAATGTAATAACCTGTCCATTCTATATTTAAACAGAAAAGTTAATTACCCGTCCACTATCCTAGCCACTGAACTATTATGTGCAGACTCTTGCAACTCCCAACACGCCTTCTTTTATCCTTCTTGCGTCATCTTTTCACCTTTTTGTTTTCACTTTTAAGAAGTAAATTGAAAAACAAAATCAAATGTCCAATGCATTGAAATCCCTAGGTTCTGCAGACTTCTTTCTCTTCATCCTCTTCTCAAGGTGTTCATGTGAGCCTTAACATCAATGCATAGAAAGATTAAAAGTGTCAATGGAGGTTTCATCCGACTGATGTAGAAGTCAGCGTAATAAAGACAACCATACTCAACCTCAATTTAGATTTTAATGAGTTCACTGCACAGAACTCAAAAGAAAGAGAGTCAGAAACAGGAAAAAAGACGTTCAACAATGGGTTCTTTGAAGTCTTGTTGGGTCTTTCTTTCCTATTTTTGTCTTATGTCTTATTTTCCTTCCTTATTTGTATTCTGTCTTCCCTTTCTTCTTCAATCTGCCTTCTGTTTTCCCTTTCTTCACTGTTAGTTTGATTTTGACCAACCTGGTTGACCACTTGATCCCAATCAATCCGCTGGTTTAGCAAGGTTGCACTGGGTCAACATGGGCTTGATTGGGTCAATCTGGTTTCAACAAATCCTGGTAACATTTTGGACCAGTTCACCAGTCGGTCTGGTCTTGTTTTCAATGCCATGTGGATGCTAGATAAAAATGTAGCACTTTTCTAATCTAATATTATTTGGGAGGGAACAAATTTCTTAGTTCTCATACCAATCCTCTATTACGTTTAAATATTCTTAAATGTATCTGATCTCTGGAATCAGTTGGAGGCCCCGTTAGGTGACTGTTGTTATTTATTACTCACCCTTATGCTTTATTCTCTCAAGTACAGCAGCTTTTTTAATATTATCGTATACATACATGATTTTCTGCCCTTTTTTTTTTTTTTAACTTTTAGACTTGTTTTATTCTTTTTCATTTTCCTTACTCTGACATAATGGGGGTTGGGGGAATTATTGTCTGTATGTGTATTCTAAAATGCTGCTTTTCTTTTGGTGCAGTTTAGTCCTGTGGGGCATTATTTTGCCAGTGCTTCACACGATAGAACTGCTAGAATTTGGTCCATGGACAGGATACAGCCATTAAGAATAATGGCTGGGCATTTGTCTGACGTTGATGTGAGTTATGAAGTCCACCTTTTCATTTTGTGCTCTCTGACTTGATTGTAATTAGTCAAAACTCAATTTCAAGCAAAGCTCTTGGATTTATTATTGTCAAGTCTGAAAATTCTTCTGCGAATGCTTACCTGCTGTATTCTCTTGTCCAGTGTGTGCAATGGCATACCAACTGCAACTACATTGCTACTGGCTCCAGTGATAAAACAGTTCGATTATGGGATGTGCAGAGTGGGGAGTGTGTCCGGATTTTCATCGGTCATAGGAGTATGATTTTGTCTTTGGCAATGTCTCCTGATGGTCGCTACATGGCATCTGGTGATGAAGATGGTACAATCATGATGTGGGACCTCTCTAGTGGCAGCTGCCTCGCACCTCTGGTTGGTCACACCTCATGTGTCTGGACACTTGCCTTCAGGTGATCTTATGATATTTGAAACTGGATCATAGATTGAAGGTTTTTCAGACATATCCACATCCTAATCCTGCCTCTGCCCCTTCCTGCCTCTGCCCCTAACATTGTTGTTGGATGTGTCAGCTGTGAAGGTACTCTTCTTGCATCTGGATCCGCTGATTGCACTGTGAAACTATGGGATGTGACTACGAGTGTAAAACTTCCAAGGACTGAGGAAAAGTATGTTTATCTAATCCTCTTCTTGTTCTTAATGTAAGTTAGTTAATTAATTAGTAGATTAGTAGATTAAAAATGTAGTTAAATTAGTTAATATATTTTTTCTAACACGTTTTTCTAATCATTTTCTTAATTTCTCCTTTTCCTTCTTTTATTTGATTGTTGTTGAGAGAATATCAATAGGGTTAATTAGCAAAAAAATTGATAAACATGTAAAATAGGTTTTACATATATGACTAACATTAATTCTTAAATTAGATCTTACATTGAGGATCAGAGGAGTATGAACAGATTCCAGCCTATCAATGTCTCGGGAATTTTTTTCCCACCAAAGATTACTACTGTCGTCAAATGTAATTTGCAGGAGCGGGAGTACTAACAGACTCAGATCATTAAAAACTCTGCCGACCAAATCTACCCCAGTTTCCTCTTTGCGGGTAAGTGTTCAAATTCCTTATTTTTCATGTTTACCCATCGATAGTCCTGAATCATGCTGAAGTCTGTATCCCTGCTCATGGTGCAGTTTTCCCGGAGGAATCTGCTTTTTGCTGCCGGAGCTCTTGCAAGAAATGGTTAAAATAAGCTTGTATCGAGTAATATAGCACATATTCTTCTATTTTATTCTTTATTGGCAAGTCATTGAAACTATCAGTTGAGTTATAATATTCTGTCAGGGTGCCAAAGAACTACCATGCCTCCTTGAGATCCTCACAGCAGACATATGCTAGTGCAACTTTTCAATTTCTTCAGAACCAAGTCTTCATGCATTTAACATTTCAAAATGAAGTCTCTGCATTATGCTGTCCTACCGGGCAACCCATATGGACGCCAAGTGTATGACTGTGAAATAACTCCTTTAGTTCCTTTTTTTTTTTTTTTGGCCTTCAACTCCTTTAGGGCGTAGAATAGAAACCTTTTGCCAGTTGATTTGTTTATTGAGCTCCATGCCTCCTAACTAGTCTTTTTTCTCTCTGAATTGTATTAAGGAAAACAGTGAAACCTCGCATGACTTTATACTGGGAAATATTTTATGGTTTTTTCTAACCTGTGAATATTTGAATCATATGATTATGTAGCTACAAAATTAATGTCTGGACACAGGTAAAAGAATTTGCCTATCCGGGTACAGTTACATGGATTTTTTTTTGGTTGGTTTTTTTGTTTTGTTTTGTTTTTTTAAAACTTTTTCAATCTTTTCGTTCTCAAGAGGAAGCATCTCTGCCTAAATTAGTAAATACTTACAAGTTTAGTTGGAGAATGGATCCGTTACACTTAATAAATAAATATACTATAATATGTTTCTTTATGTTGGTCCTTTTCTTTCGTCCTTTCTAACGTTTTTATTTCGGCGTAGTGTTTGGAGCTACTCTGGGCTCGGACTAAGTGGTCACAACTCACAAGGGCAGTGAGCTGTTCCAACAGATTCATGAGACCATTAATTAAGCTAGCAAAGCTTTTTTAATGAACGAATAAGCATATACTTTCGTGGGAGGAGAAGAAAAGAAGGCTTTACTATAACGCAAATTTCAAAAATTGAAACGTGAATAAAGATTTTAGAATAATATTTCAATGTGAGTTATGTGATGGATTCCCCAAGACAAACACAATTAAGAAGGAAATAATGAATACTTAATGAAATCTTTATACATTATATTTGACGACATTGCTCATCTTAGGAATGCTGAATTTCAAATGCTGTATTTCGGAAAAGAATGTTTCCATTTAAACTTTTTTTCTCCCCATTTCTTCGTTTACTATCCCTACCCATTGGCCTAATATCCAATGGTTGAGATTTAATAAATTATAACAATATTGTAATATTAAATAATATATAAATAACTTTAACCTGTACATAAAAAATACTATGATATTATTATAATGAGACAGCACAGGATAAAAAAATTACAAAATATTTAAATAAAAATCTATAAAAGTAATGTATGCATAGTAATTTCTGATTGCTTTATATATTTGTGTTGTTTAATTAATATTATAATAGTATTTTATAATTTAGTAAATCTCAACTATTGAATGTTAATCCAATGATAAAAATAATAAATGGAGAGAATGTGGAAAGAAATTAAATGGACGTAATGGTTGGGTTCCCACTGATTTATAAAGTCAAGATGGGTTTATATCCTGGTCAAATTGCTGAAAGTTGGCTGTTTTCTTAAATGAGTGAATTGGGGATAAAAAAATTTCTCTAAAAATTATAGTAACAGTGTTAACAGTACTTGAGCGGAAAAAGAAAGTATAAATAATGAGAGTTTGAGTTCAGGAAAATAAAACAGAGATAATTTATTCTAGCTCAGCTCCAATTACTTAAGTGCAAGATTAAACCAAATTCTCACATAAGCTCAGTATATCCATTTGACCACCACATGTCAATTCTGTTTCACTGCCTTACACTTGAAGTAGACTGATCCCCTAAAGATTTCCTCTAATTCTGAGCGTCTCTCAAGCAATAATGAGATAAGGTCATGAGATTAAGTTGATAATGAATCCTCAAAAGTTTAGATAATATACAATGAAACACTAAGTTGATAGTTGGAAGAGTAATTCTAAATTGAACGAATTAAGTAAAGAATAAGATTTTCAACACTTATAAACAATCAATTCATTATTCAAAACTTAAATGATGCTTATTTATAGGTTTTATGAACAACTAGTAGTGAGATATAAAAATCTAGTCATTAGTCAATCAAATTAGCTATAAGTAAGTATTTAATGTACTTGTTAGAAAAAGTAACATAACCAAAACAATAAAATTTTGTCCCACCGAAAAAAGTTAATTTCTCATAAAATGATAAATCAAAGTTCAAATCTCGATTAAAAGAGGTTTTTATGTTTAGTTCCTAATCTTATCTCATATAAGGCAGACAAATACAACTAGTATAAACAACTATAATTTCTTAGCTAGGTAAACTATAAAAGTAGATGGGGATAGAAAATAAGACTGGTTATGAATCATATATGAGTATAAATTGATCCAATGACAATGGTATTCATAGAATATTGTATCTTGTTGACATGATGTTGAGGGTGCATGCCACAAGTTAAATGGGGTGTTGGCTTCTAATTATTTCCAAAGAAAAGATATCTATGAAAAAGAAGATACTATTAATGAATAGTGAATGTGTGTGAATTACTTGAGTATTAAATCCGGCAATAAATCAAATGTGCCAAATATTAGACCGGACATCATCCATATATTCAGACCAGAAAAAGCCTAAAGCAGGCCATACTTTTATTGTGATATTTTTCAACAATTATATAATTAGTTCTAACATATGTGAAGAACTATTGGAAAAATTTGCACATATAATTAACAAATAAACACCAAAAATACTATATTCGTTGGGATAAAATTTCTCAAAAATGAATCTTAATTTGCAGCAACAGCCTTTGAATTTCCTAATAAACTTATGGATAACGATTGTTTGTTTTTAAGCCTTGGGCAAGGTTGTTAACTTACTTTGAAACAAAATCTTGAAATTCGGGAAAGTTTTAATTATCCCATCCCAAATGCCCAAATGTGAAATATAATTGTTAAACAAACAAGCTTTAGTTATATTGTTGTTTAAAGGAAAACAACTATGGGTTTATAATTTCACTATTTGGCTATTCGTATGGTTTTTTCAGTTTTACCATAACAATATAAATAGCTCTCTGTGTAATGGGGATTCATCATCTTCTACAACTCTAATAGACATTGTTGTATTCGAACAAGAGAGGAAGAAAGGCCTATAAAGGAATTCAAGGAAGAAAAACTAAACATGGATGCGAATTTCAGTATTATTTATATTTATGCCTTATTCCTCCTACTAGCATCTTCAATTATGGCTCAGCCTGTGGTTTTTGATATAAGAAAATACGGTGGAGCACCTAATGGAGATCTGACTTCAGTGAGTATTTATCTTGAATTCCTAATTTGAAAGTTCACTGCAAACAAAAAAATTGGGATAAAAGAATTAGTATGTGACAAATTGATTTTGCAATGCTGCTTTGCAAATATTTCTTTTGTGACAAATTTATAACATTTCCCTTGCAAAACTTGTTCAACCAATCTTTTGATGGATTTCTTTAATGAAAAGTTAGTTTTCCCATAAATTTTTGTTTTGTTGTTGTCACATGTTAAGTATGTATACCTGTCTAAATTTTTTTAGCTATTATATTTTATTGAAATATATTTGGCTTGTTGATTGATGTTGAGAAGAGCTTAGCGAGAGCTTGGAAGACAGCATGTGCATCAACAAGTGCAAGCAAAATTTTGGTCCCAAAAAGTACATACAGTTTGAGACAGATAGAGCTAAATGGTCCATGTAAGGCTCCAATTGAGCTTCACATTGAAGGCAACATTGCAGCACCAGAAAACCCAAATCAATTCGATGGGGATGCTCAATGGATTAGATTTGGATATATTGATTCCCTTACCTTATCGGGTGGTGCCACTTTTGATGGTCGAGGTTCAATAGCCTGGAAGCAAAATAATTGTCATCAAACTTGGAATTGCAAAAAGCTTTCCATGGTAACTAATAAATTATACACACTTCCAAAATTCATAAACGTGTTGAATTCCTTATATCATCATTTTCTTGAAATTCTGATTGAAACATAATAGATGTATAATTTCTAAATAATAATATGAGAGTATTCGTTTTAACATGAAAAATCACATAAGGTGTGAATTTTCTTACATGATCGGTTAAGAGAAAGAGAAGAAAAATTAGATTAACTTATGTTCATTCTATAATGCTTGACACCTTTTCCTGCTTTTAATTTAGCTTCCTCTTATAATTAAAAAAATTCTGAATCAATGATTCATGAATTCTTTTAAAAGTCTAACTTCTTTGAAATCTTTTCAGAATTTTGGTTTCAGCTTCATGAACAATTCGATCATTCAAGACATAACATCAAAACACAGCAAACACTTTCATGTGAATGTTCTAGGGTGCCGAAATATCACTTTCAACAAATTCACCATTGAAGCCCCAGCAGAAAGTCCAAATACAGATGGAATTCACATTGGAAGATCAACGCAAGTGAAAATACTCGACTCAAATATTGGAACAGGAGATGACTGTATCTCATTGGGTGATGGAAGCAGACAAGTCAGTGTTGAGAATGTGACATGCGGACCTGGGCATGGCATTAGTGTTGGAAGCTTGGGAAGATATGAAAACGAAGAACCTGTGGAAGGTTTGATAGTAAAGAATTGTACTTTCAAAAACACTGACAATGGTGTGAGAATTAAGACGTGGCCTGGTACTTCAATAAAAATCCCAGTCTCTCAATTGCGTTTTGAGAATCTAGTCATGATTAACGTCACCAATCCTATAATCATAGATCAAGAATATTGTCCATGGAATCAATGTTCAAAACAGGTATTTAGTTCTTTCCCTCCCTCAAAATGCATGCATATTTATATATGTAAAAAATAGTAAAAAATGTGAAATTAAATTAAATCCTACATAATCACTTTAAAATACATCCATGTTTCAAAACATTTGAAATTTCTAAAAATGAAAAAAATTGTGTATTTGGTACAATTGTTGGAATAATATTAGGATATGCCTCTAATTTATACAGTTCTTTTTTCGCGGTGAGTTTTCCTTGAATATTTCTAACTGTTTTGTTTTGTTTTGGTTTTTTGTTTTTTGCATTTTGAGCTGCTACAACAGACTCCATCCAAAGTACAAATAAGTAGAGTTTCTTTCAAGGACATTAGAGGCACATCAGCAACAAAGGAAGGAATGATTCTAATTTGCAGTAGCGGTGTACCATGTGAGAAGGTAAAACTCACAAATATTAACCTCAAATTCAATGGCACTCCTGTGATTGCGACTTGTAAGAACATCAAACCCCAAGTCTTTGGGAATGTACCAGTTTGTACTTCTTAACATGTATTTTACTCATTTATTAAGTAAAATTCAATTCATATATTTAAGGTTTTATTGTCCATTTTCATTTTGCTATGAGCTTGCTAATTTTTAATTTAGTATTTTCTTTTTCAGAACACGGAAATGGAATGGTACTATTTTGATATTCGAATACTCAAGAAAGTGACAGTGAATAAAGTAACTTTGTGGAGTAAGCTAATTGGTAAATAAATAATTGTGTAAATGAATAATATTTTTGACAGAAGTGGATTATTCCTCAAGAGTTGAAGCTCTTGCTATTCATTTACTTGCACTATAAAAATTTACTGGTTCATAAGACAAAGATTACTCAAATATTCTGAGAACAGCCAAAACAATAAGTTTCGTCCAGAGGCTAAACAAGGTTAAAGAAAGCCCACTACTTCCACAGAAAGCAATTCTTGAGAAATACTACAAGCACACATAGACGAATACAGCTTAGTAGCCGTTTACAAATGTTGCGTTTGAAAAACAAAACTTCTAAATATTTGCTAAAACATGCTCAAGCATCATGAAACGATGTCTTCTCAAGCCATTTCAATTTTAGAACAAGTTTTACAAGAAACCATTTTGACAAATCGAGTTAATCCTTATTACTACCATTACAAGTAAAAAACCTAAAGATTGGATTACTTAAATAATATATCTTCACTTATAGATGTACCTTCAGCATGTGTGATAATATGTTCCCATTAAATCATAATTTTTAAAGTTTTGGAATTATCAAAATCGTGGATATTTATAGTAGGTAGGATGGCTCATTTTATTTTGGAGTCTGAATGATAATCTTTGGGGTTATGTAGTGAAATGGGCAATATCCAAGCGATTATCGACTATTTCTTGAATTATGGCAATCTAATGACAAAGTTAAATCTCATCCCTTCCTCAGTGTTCTCTTTAATTTTATGTGAAATATATATTCTGAATCATGATTTATTGGTCCTTTTATTTTGTTGGCAAAAAGATTTTTATATTTTGGACATTATGGTATAAGCTACTATAGCCGAATTCAAACCAATGTGCATATAGAAAATACCTCTGGGAGAGCTACATCCCATTTGAGGCTCAAATCTAAATTAGTCAGAGTCCAGTGTGACTTGAATACCAAATTGTCTTAAATTATCAGTGGGGCTTATCATCAGTGTTTGAAAATCAAACATAACTTAAATTACGCAAAACAGAACAAAAGTTGTCCATCCGCTGACAAATCTCTTCCACATGTGCAACTCTCAGCTTTAGTTGATCATTTTCTAACTCTAGCTTTGTTACCCTATCGATAAGAGGAACCATTTCATGTTCAGGAACTCGTTCGACATTGGCAATTTTAGTTTCTGCAATTTCTGGCGTGACCCAAGCGAAATATTTGCACCTCCTTGTCGCACATGTTGCATATAGCTTGCCAGGATTCTTGTCTGAGTCTGATATTTGAATGGACGCTCTCTGATTGCATAAGCAGGTCCTATTTCGATATCTTAACTCTTGAATCATCCTACTCGAAGAAGCCTTAAAGTCTGCCAATGAAAGTATAAATCAGCAAAAACCAACAATTACACACATTCACAGGATACCAAAGATTAAACCAGCAGCTAAAGTTATCAGTCATGAACCCCTTTGCCTAAGATTGGACGCTGATCTGAACCAATAATTTAAGATTCAAATATGAAAAGGAAGGAAATTTTCCAGTCAATTTCATGGTTCAAACAAGAAAAAGTGTGATTTTTCTCGTCATCCACAAGGTGCCTCTAATCTAAGGATGACCGGTCTGTCCTATCTCTTTGTTATGCTCAGACATTCTCAAACTCCATTAGAAGGGATGGAGCTAAGGGTGTTATGGTCCTTTTCCTTTAATTTATATTTAAACAAATAATAAAAAAAATTCTCAACCCCCCCTCTTAATATTATTTCAAAGAGATTCACAGTGATCAATATTCCATTTCCTACCATTCTATTCTGTTATCATATTTTTTATAAATCAAATGGGCCTTTAGGACATTGGAGCCACCAACAAGTCATCTTCACTAGACTATACAATACCATTGCTCATAATGGACTAAGGAGACATACCATCAACAACAGTGACTTCTTGGGAAGGGTTAACCTTTTTAGCATCCTCTTCTTTCACCTAATCAGATGTAGAACTGGCACATTTCAATTGAAAATATGCTAAAGGATGACGAAATATAATGAAACCAAAAGGAAAATTACATAAAAGCTTTTATCACGGGGATAGAAGTTGGCAACGTTTATTGCCAACATGTAAGTTAAATTGAGACTGCCGAAATTTACCATATTTTCATTGGAAACACGTGAATCATTCTGCTCCAAGCTACCAGATGTACCTTCGCATATTGAAGCAAGTACGTTGCTGTAATTATCTAAAGAAATACCGAAGGTGGGGATAGCTGGCACTAAGTAGGGTTTCAGCTTTTCTGCGCAACTTTCCAGGACCATCTCCCCAAATATTTTAGCATTAGGCCAAACACCCTAAATTGTAATGTCAACAATTTAAATATTAACATTGAAGGCAAATCTCATTGGAAAAATCATTAAATAAGAAAATAAATGAAATCGAAATGGCCAAACTCAAACCTCAATATCTTTCTTCACGCTGGCTAGGATTGGAGAAAGGAGGTCCAGAGATATCTCTTCACTTTCCTTTATAACATGAGTCGTAATAATCTCAATGGATGATAAAACATTCTCCGGATGATGTTCCCTGGCAGTTACAAATGGATCTGGTGAGTACGATGTCTATCCATGGGGAATTTCTAACCAACTAAAGAAATGAGGAAGGCAAGCACAAAAACCACCAACGCTTATAAGGCCTTCTCAGCAGGGGAAAAATATGCAACGACATAAAGTCTGCTATTGAAGACACAAATTTTAATAATATTTCAGCATTTGTATAACCTACCAAAACTTGCCACCTCATCTTGGCTATTAGTATGAACAGATTTCAACATGGAACACAGAAAGCCAGCCTACATGAAAACTGGAAAGTTATATCCCACAACAGTCATCTGAACTGAATGGAGCATCATCCTGATACTAGTTGAATTTCAAACTTTGGCAAGATGTTGTTTCGTTACATCTGTGGATTCAGTGCTTTACAGATTTATGATCATTTGTCAAATCCAATAAATAACAGTCAAGGACAACAGTTAAATGAATTACATGAATCCTCATCCACCATTCACATTTGATGATCCAGAAATTTGCAAATGCATCCATCTTAATATGTCTTACATCGAAAATCTACAGAATTGCTCAACAGACCATACATAGTTACAATATAATTGCAACAAATGCTAGTACATCAGAGTTTTACAGACGTATCAAGTCAAAGTTTAGTAGTTAATAACATGATGAATTATAAAGCATAAGCATACAATGACAAGCATAAGATCATGCTGCTTGCATGCATGCTGGATCTGTACTCAACAAAGATCTTACCTTACAGCCTTGAAGAAATGCCGAAACATCTCTAAAATAAGGGCGTCACAGTCAAGATCTAGCATTACAATAAACAATCTGGTCTGCGCAAAAGTTACAAGAATGGATGTTGTCTTAGCATATAACCGGCTTGACTTATCATTTAGATTTTCAAATGAAGATACAATTGATTGAAACACCACCTGCATGTAATTAGAATGTTAAAAATTTTCTAGTTTAAAGTATATAATATAAAATAATGGCCAGATCCATCAAATTTAAAGCAAAGAAAGATTTCTCTCACCCGCATTTGGTGATCATCATACGGACAATCAGGTGCAGTTATTCTTGCTATTTCAGTGATGCAAGAGGCTACTGAAACTTTCACATCATCATTTGAATGCCTCACAAGTTTATCAACAATTAATGCTTTCAGTGACGTTGAGAGTGCATTTTGTATTGATTTTGTAGGAGACTGTTCAACCCCCAAGAGGCAACGCTCAAGTTGCTGCCGTTTCGAGACCACCAAAAAAAAAAAGAAGGAAAAAGAGCTCATGGAAATGTCTCCACTAACATAACCCCCTCACACATATTCCATCACGGATTAAAAGCACAAGTATAAATAGCACGTAGTTACTAATAGCAACAATTGTTCTTCAATGCTATAGTACGCAGCACATACACAACATGTTTTGAAATATGGTGAACATAAAAAATATGTCCATATATTCAATATAGGTCATCCTGAACGCAGTATACTAATAATATGATATCCTAAATTTGCTGTTGAAGGACAAGTGAAACCAACTTAATAATTATCATCTCCAATTGAATTTAACCATAAAACGTAACATTTAAGCATTAGAAAATTTAGGAGTTTAGCAACATCCCTTGCGTTCACGCTCTTCTTTGCTAGAAGCAGCACCATGCCAAAGATCATTATCAGCATACACTCAATTTCATATCTCCAATATCTTATAAGTTTGGCTCCTATTTATCAATACCACCAAGAGGATGACATATGTTCTTGTAAATGAGCATTGAAAACCTGATAATATTATTCAATGGAGTATGTGCAGATTGTATAGAATGAAGGAGGAGAGGAAATCGCACATTACAAAAGATATTCCTAATAATCATCCACCAGAGACAGTCTCCCTGATAACATCATATTTACAATAAATACAATTTATTTATTTCTCAACAGGTTAGCCCCATTTCTGAATGAATCTTCATTAACAAATGTCACCATCGATAAAAAATGAACAAACTCAATATCAGAACCAAATGCGATTTTAGGTGAATTATAAGAAAAATAGCAGAGACATATTTATAAATACATGCATACATACAAACACACGCACACAAGCATGAACGCAATCATCTACAAACATTTACGCTAATTTACTTAGTCCATAACATAATATTTCTGCCGAGCAAGGAAAGCCAAATGGAGTTGGTGGAAACAAGCATTCGTCAGAACCTACAAAAGCATTAAAATCGCAATCTTACAGGAACTAAAATAGATTAACAAAGGCATCGGAACTTGAGAGATAGTTCAGCATCGCAATACATGATAATCCTAGCTAGCCACCAAAAACAAACCGATATCCCCAGGGAAAAAAAAAGGGATAGCAGAAACAAGAACATTAGAACACAAGCAAGACTTAAACTAGTAGGACAAAGCCCGAAGAAGCAAAAATATGATAGGAAAATCATCAAAGATTATACTTACATTTAGAAGGCGCAGGACATCGTTGGCAGAAGAGGGAGGATCCAGGAGCTTACTTCCAACTTCGTGAAGCTGTTCTTCGAGTTCTTTGCTGGCGGATGCCATTGGTGCTGAAGGCACAAGTCTCTTCATCCTGATCTTCGACCGCGGGCCGTCCATCAGTCTCCGGTGCTTCACTCCTCGAAGCCCTCGAAATCGACGAATTGATCGAAGCAGTTGACACAAAGCAGAGTTTTGTAACTGTTGTGATTCCACTATCCATTAAATAGTAGTATTAGAAATTGAAAGGTCAGGCTCGGACTTGGATTTGGCGGGTTCAATCAGGCACGTGGCTTTCACGTGCTAATAACCCTGTTTTTATTTCTATCCAAAACAAAAAAGAAAAAATGTTTAACTAATTGTAATTAGGGAAAATTTGGTTAAACTTCCTTACTTAAAAATTAATTATGTAAGGGTACCTATTGCTATCTTTGGTCCTTAACATAAGAGGTAGTTGATTAATTTGAGTAGATTAAAAAAATTAGTTAAGTTAGTTATTTGTAATAAATAGGTATTGTCTTTCCTAAAATACTCTTACTAAACATGTTATTAGCTAGAAAACCTTTAATATGTGCAAATACTATGAGGATTATCTTAAAAAAATAAATAAGCATAAGAGACAATGTAGATTGAGGTCTTATATCTAGGACTAAATTGAATGTCAAACTAGCTCTTATATTAAGAATTGAAGGTAATATTTGCTTAAGGACTCATATGCTTTTAAAAAATTTATATAGTACCTCAAATCCTAATTATAATACCTTGTTTATAATTTATAATAAATCTTATAATTAAGACCAAGATAATATCTTATAGTTGAACTATGTGCAAAACAAAAAATATTTACAGATGAAAAAAGATATGTTACATACAGTTTAAAAAGAGTTATATATGGGCAAAAATATGTTGTATTCACTCAAAAATTTATCCTTTACGTAGCTTTTCCTAATCAATTTTTAAGTAGGAACTTTTAACCGATTTTTTCCTTACAATTATACATCAAATCTGATAAATAATATTTTTTTAAGATCTTTTTATCTTCTTAATTTAGTCTCTTTAATATTAACTTGAGGCTAATTGAATTTAGTTAACCATAATTTAATTTTATTAGCCAATTTTGATCTATGAATTTTAAGTGCTAAATTCTTAACTTTTAAATATATAGCATACGCGCTAGTTTAATTTATTTTATTTGTGTAGATTCTATCGAATCTAATTTACAAGGTGTGAATGAAGATCATTCTTTGTCAAAGATTTTAGACATTCTCAAGAAGAGCCTTTGTGGATGGAAGGCGTCGAGCCTCTACCTAGCCGGACGGATGACATTAGTAAAATCTGTCGCAGCTTCTATGTCTCTTTTTCCGATGCAACATGACAGACTGCCACAGGAATCATAGAGGAAATGGAAAAGGAGCAAAGAAGCTTCATCTGGGGAGAGCAAAATGGACAGAGGAAATGGCATGCACCGTATTGGAAGCATATGTGCAAGTCGAAAGGGGAGGGTGGAGTTGGCATTAAGTCACTGGAACTGATGAATGATGCCTTTCACTTAAAACTTCTCTGGAGGTACCAATCGCAACCTAACGAGCTCTAAGCACAGGTGCTACGAGGAAAATATGGACGGACGACAATGTGAACTGGGGCAGAAACCTATTCCCATGCAATCAGATTCTAGATTATGGAAAGAGATGAGCAAATTGTGGGGTGAATACCAACTTGACGTGGAAGTCCCACAAGAGGCCGATACTGATGATGGAAGAAGAGTGTGCTGGAGGCTGACGAGAAGTGGTGAATTTACGACAGCTAGCGCTTACAGAGGATTGCAAGAGCCTACTACTTCCTCTCAGAATACTATTTGGAGAACTACTTGGAAAATGGAAACTAACGTCCCGCTTGGTAGGAAATATTAAAAATAAGAGATAGAAATTGGGATTGTAATTAAAAAAAAATCATCAAAATAGTATTTAACATGAGTAATTATTTGTTACATAGGATTAGGCAAACTCATAGAAGTGAGATTGGGAAATATCACTTTCTTACATATATAGATTTGGATAATCCCATATAACAAACAATCTCTTATGTTAAACACTCTTTTAATAGATTTTTTCAATTCCAATCATTATCTCTAATTTTTAATGTTTCCTACCAAACACAATCTAAGAGCCCCGGAAAGAGTGAGAGTTTTCGTGTGGCAAATAACTCATAGATGATTAATGACTGAGAAATTGATGAGCAAATGGGATGGGCGAGTGGGCTTTTGTGATCGATGTCTACTGGCGACAGAGGACTTAACTACATGTGATGCGTGATTGCCCTCTTTCCAGACTGATATGGAAGAATCTCGCACCCCATCGGAAAAGAAGATTCTTTTACAACGCGGAATGGCAATGTTGGATTAACTCCAACCTCAGAGGATTCAGTTAAATAGAGGAATATATGGTGTGGCCAGAATTATCCGCAGTGGGATGTTGGTGTGCTTGGAAATGGAAAAACCAAGGCCTACGTGACCGAGACTTCCTTATACCAATAAATCCAGCGATGATAATCAAACAACACCTGCGACATTACAAGCAGAGGTGGGATGGTGATACTTTTCGAGATGTACATGAGGCCTTCTATCAAGTGAAAGGGTGGTGTAAGTTGAACACAGGTGGATGAAGTTCGAGCAGAACATCGGCGGGATGCCAATAAACTTTAGGAGCTGTTGAACAGAGATTGGGAAATCCAAATCCAGCATGTTTACAGAGAAGGAAATGGGTGTGCGGACATACTTGCTGCGTTAAGTAGAAACCAAGGCAGACAAAAGACCACCTGGAATACACCCCCAGCCGAAGTCCAGCAACAGCTACCGAAAGACCAAGCGGGGATTGGCGTTTTGTTTTTGTGTTTTTTGCGCGCTGGCCCCTTATGTTCACCCAAAGAAAAAGGGAAAATTTAAGTGAAGGACTATAGTAGACAATTTATTTCAAATAGCCCCCAAAACATTACGAAATATCAATGCAGGACCAAAACAACAAACTTAAATTAATTTAAGAAGGGAAAAGACATTGTTACCCCTTAAAAACTATGACTATGAAGCTCTTCCGTCTCTCTCTTAAATCTGTCAATAACTCAAGCTTTTCTCTCTCTCACTCTCTGAAAAATTCGATGCTGCATTCGGAGAGCTCATTCGCCATCATCGTTGTTTCGATAAGGAGAGCGTTCACTATCATTGCTATTCTAGTATAGAGTGCCTTCGCCGTCGTCCCTATTTTGGTAACAAGAGCCTCTGTTGTTGCCATAGTCTCTCTCTGTGCCACATCTTTCACTACCTTTCCATTCAAAAATTTCTGCATATAATACTGTAAAATCCTTGCCCATTTCTTTTGTTGTAGATTTTCTAGGTTCGGTTTGGGCTGTCGTGAAGTTTTGAACCAGCGAAAATTTTTTTACTACTCAAATTTGAGATAAAATTATACAGTGAGTTGATTTTATATTCATACCGTTGATTGTTGAGAGTAAGCCTTTCAGTTCCTATCATGAATTGCATTATGAATTTGCAAATTTCACTTTTCTAGCAAAACGGTGATTTAGTATTTTGAAAACTCATATTTTTATTGTGAATTCACAAATTCCTCTTGTAAACGTATATTATGTTTAATTATTGAAAATTGATTGAAGTTAATACTTGAATGATGTGTAGCAACTTATTATATATGGCTAGCGGCGGTTGAAACTAATTATTTGCATCTTCAATGCAAGAGGCGAATTGTGAAGACCTTAGAAAGCAAAATGATATAGGAAGTATTGCACTGAAATTGGCTGGCATTTATGTAAATGCAAAACAAATTAATCCACTTGCAAATGGATGTATTTATGTTATCAATGGGTGCATCCGTATTACAAATATCCTAATTCTACTTTTGAGCAATCATTCTCAGATTTGTGATTTGTTCTGTTTAACTTTATGAATGAAATAAATCCATTTGTAGATAGATGTATTTATGTTTTTAATGGACATAATCGTGTTGTAAATTTTCTAATTTCACTTGTGAACTATCACTCCCAGACTTGTGAATTGATGTTCATGAATTAAATAAATCTATTTACAAATAGATGATTTCTATTGTTAATGGGTATATCCATGTTGCAAATTTTCCAAAATTCCCTCACTTGTGTTCAAATCTTCTAACAACTAGTTACTTGTAAATGTTGTTCTTGTTGTTAATATACGTATCTTTCTTGCAAATTTTCTAAGTTTAATTGTCAATATGACAGCCACATTTCTAAACCATTAAGTTGTTAGGCAATGTATCTTTGTTGAAAATCTTTTAATTCTATTTGTCAGTAGTATATCATATACTTGTAAACTAGTAGAGATAAGCAGAAGACTAGAATTAATTGACATGAAACATGGCCATAATATATATCCCCCGAAACTGAAATTGTACAAATTCTCTATACAGAAATTTGAACACATTCTAAAGTAGTTTAAATTACATCTCGAATAGAAATATAACATTTGCTATGTCATCTCTTTTTTTTTTTTTTGTATTTTCATCCATTGAAGTAGTTTCACAACAATGCTTGACTTCATATTTTTTCTGTGAGTAATGAGCCACCACAACAACTCAAACTTTAGTACAGTGTGTTGTTCCTTTGACATAAGGATAAGAGCCATCAATACATTTTCACAAGTGCAACGATAAAATTTCAAAATAATCAATGAACTCATACACATTTCATTCCATTGCTGCTAGCCATATATAATAAGTTGCTACACATCATTCAAATATTAATTTCAATTAATTTTCAATAATTAAACACAGGATACGTTTACAAGAGGAATTTGCGAATTTATAACAAAAATAAGAGTTTTCACAACACCAAATTATCGTTTTTTCTAGAGAAGTGGAATTTGCAAATTTATAATACAATTCATGATAGGAACTAAAAGGTTTACTCTCAACACTCAACGGTGTGAATCTAAATCAATCCACTATATAATTTTATCTGAAATCTGAGTAGTAAAAAAATTTCTTGCTAGTTCAAAACTTCACAACAGTTCAAACCAAACCCAAAATATCTACAACAGAAGAAATGAAGAAGGATTTTGCAATATTATATGCAGAAATTTTTAAATGGAAAGGCAGTGAAAGAGGTCACACACAGAGAAAGAGAGACTATGGGGACAACAGAGGCTCTTGTTACTAGAATAGAGCTGACAATGAAGGCACTCCGTACTAGAATAGCAGTGATGGTGAATGCTCTCCTTTCCAGAACAACGGTGATGGCAAATGAGCTCTCTGAATGCATCAGTGAATTTTTCAAAGAGTGAGAGAGAGAAGCTTGAGTTATTGACAGATTTAAGAGAGAGACGAAAGAGCTTCAGAGTCATAGTTTTAAGGGGTAACAATGTCTTTGCTCTTCTTAAATTAATTTCAGTTTGCTCTTTTGGTCTTGCAATGATATTTCAAAACGTTTTGAGGGTTGTTTGAAATAAATTGTCTATTGCGATCCTTCACTGAAATTTTCCCGAAGAAAAAAGATTCTAGACATTTTTGGAAATCAAGTCAACAACTAATGTTTGGAAACTTAAATTATTTGTAATTTCCTTTATGTCCTTTTATAGTTTTATCTTGGTTGCTAAGGATAGTTTATTATTATTATTATATTATTATTATTATTATTATTATTATTATTATTATTAGGGATAATGTGATTAAAGCCCCTAAAAATATTTACAAAGGAGCACTCGGGATTTTTTTTTCCTCTTATATGCCATAAAAGTTTATTTTCATAACAAAAATACCCTGAACGTAATCTGCCATTAGGTTTGATCATTAAATTATACAGTTTGACTAAGATCTTTAATAATTAAACTTAGCAGAGGATAACGGTTTATGTTAGAAATGCTACAAAATAACTCTTTTAGGACATATAAGAGTCAAAAAAAACTTTCAGATGCTGATTGTTTCTTCATGGATGCTTTTAAATATTTAAACACCTTATTTCTTATTATTATTCAAGACTTGGCGCGGCATGCTTAATGCTAACATGCACTTGCTTTTGGAGGCTTCAGCACTGTGTTCTCTCATCTCATTTCTACCTTCGGGGCGGCTTACTTTTCTTTTGCTTTTCTTTTTTGGGCAAAAAAAGGTTTGTTCAATTTTTTTTAAAAAGGACAAATGAAGTTATGAGATTTTATAGTAGCAACAAAAGAATTTGCTTACAGCGTAAGAAATTAGTCAATCACAACGTAATAAATCAATGTTTAAATTTTAATTGAGAGATATACTTATATTTAATACATGCTAATATTTTGAATAGGATGAACAAATAAAAAAATATGGTTAAGATGCATTAAACATAGAAAAATACTTTAGGGGTTCCGTAACCCAAAAAAAAAAAACAAATATTCTCAGTTTAAATGCACCAGCCTGGCTGCAACGTTTACTAAGGATAAACAAATAACAATAAAGAATCATTATCTGAAATTGGTCAGTAACAAAACCTTGCCTTGACTATGCGGATATAATTTGTTTAGCTAGGTAAAACATGCAAGTAGGAAGGAGAAGGGAATTAAAATGGTTTTAAGCTATACTATATCCAGTACTTAGTATAAGAGTTAATTAAAAAATAAATTTGATCCTAAATATAAGATCTTAATCTATTTTGTCTTTTATTTTTTCTTAAAATATCCCTATTCATCACAAGGGGTTCCCATCACGAGATAATTCTTATCATCCAATACAAATGATTGAAAATGATAGTTTAGAAAAAATTAACATATACTACTATTTATGATAAATAATTAATTTAACTAATTTTTTTAATTGTACTACATTAGCCATCCACCTCTGATATTTCTTATATATTAAGAACAGTAGGTACTAGTTTTTCCGATGGCAAAAAGACAAAAAGGTGGTATTAGTTGATCCCATAATCATATTAGCATTCATAGAGTATTGTGTCCTTTTGCCATAATGATGAGAGGGTGCACGTCACAAGTTAAATGGAATATTGGCATTGTTTCCAAAGAAAAGGAATCCATGAAAAAGGAGACACTTAGTGAATTTGTGTGAATTACTTGAGTATTACATCTGCCAATAAATTATGAATGTGCCAATTAAGAATTTAAAAATCAAATTGGATATTTCAACCGATTAGGAAAAGCCTGAAGAAAGCCAGATTTCTATTGCCATTTGAAAAATTACATAATTAATTGTTCTAACAAATGTGAAGAACTATTTGAAAAATGTGAACACCTATAAACACTAAAATACTATATTCCTGAGGATTAAATTTCTCAAAATGAATTTCGCAGCGACAGTATTTGAATTTCCTAATAAACTTATGGACAAAGATTGTTTTTTTTTAAAAATCGCGGGCAAGGTTGTTCACTTGGTTTGAAACAAAATCTTGAAATTCGGGAAAATTTTAATTATCCCATCCCAAATGGCCAAATGTGAATTATAATTGTTAAATAAACAAGTTTTGGTTACATTGGTGTTTAAAGGAAAACAACTATGGGTTATAATTTCATTATTTGGCTATTTATAGGGTTTTTTTTTCAGTTCTACCATAACAATATAAATAGCTCTCTATGCAATGGGGATTCATCATCTTATCCAACTCTAGTAGACATTGTTGCGTTCTAACTAGAGAGGGGAAAAAAGGCCTATAAAGAGTTCAAGGAACAAGAACTAAACATGGATGCAAATTTGAGTATTATCTATATTTCTGCTTCATTCCTAGTACTAGCATCTTCAATAATTGCTCAACCTGTGGTTTTTTATATAAGAAAATATGGCGGAGCACCTAATGGAGATCTGACCTCAGTCAGTATTTATCTTTTGAATTCTTAGCTTGAAAATTCACTGCAACAAAAGAAATTGGGATGAAAGAATTAGTATATTATAAATTGATTTTGCAATAATGTTGCTTTGCAAATATTTCTTTTGTGACAAATAGTTTTGTCACATCTTAATGCTTGAAAATATTTTTTAGCAATTATGTTTTATTGAAATACACATGGCTTGTTGATTGATGTTGAGAAGAGCTTGGAGAAGGCATGGAAGGCAGCATGTGCATCAACAAGTGCAAGTAAAATTTTGGTGCAAAAAAGTACATACAGTTTGAGACAAATAGAATTAAATGGTCCGTGTAAGGCTCCAATTGAGCTTCATATTTTTGAGTAGGATGGTATCGCTGCCTCAGGGTATCCCAGCACAACGGCCAGACTAATCCCAGGTGCACTCGCCAGGTATCGAGCCCATGACATGGTAGGGAAGGCGCCTTG